ATTTATTTTCAACTCAAAATATCTTCAAACTAACGAAATATAAAGTTATTAGTGAAGAAACCCCGTCTGGAAAACAGCAGACTGACTTCACGTAAAATATATGACAGGTCTGGACCACTCGTAAATTTTGTTCGTATCTGAAAAAAATCTTAGAATACGAACTGGAAGGTCACTGATTCAATCCCCCATTCCAGCTGTCTCAGTTGTTGTGTCCTTGGGCAAGACACTTCACCCCTAATGCCTCTGATGTGTGTCCCATCAGTGTATGAATGTGACTGACACTGATTAGTATCCATAGGCTGATTGTACATTAGCTTTTAATGGAGTGCTGTGTGAATGGGTAAATGAGGGCACAGATTGTAGTGAGAAGCTCTTTGAGTGTCCAGGATGGATAGAAAAGCGCTATACAAGTATAGTCCACTTACATACGTTTTATTTATTTTATTAGATTTTTACTTTATCCTTTGTTTTTTCTTAATTTGTTATATTTTATACTTATTGCACCTTCACACCGAAGCAAATTCCTAGTCTGTGAATCCTGTTCATTGATAATGGCAATAAAACTGATTCTGATTGCGCTTGATCCCAAATTTTAACACATGTGAATAACATCTTACACTCATGTTGGGCTTCATATAAGAAAAAAAAATGCAATTAACATGCTTTCTGAAGACAAACCTGAAAACAGAAGGTAATCAGAGAGAAAAAAAAAACAGTAAATACTGATCATGACCAAAACAGAAACAAGAAATGAATGATTAGGTTGTTATTTGATGATTTCAAACAAAAAATAGTGTACAATAATTTGGCAGTATGACTCTTAGATACCACCTTCATGACAACGAAGAGGCTCAGCGTGACAAAGACGCTGACTTCTGGGGGTTTCCAGACACTTCCAATATAGTCCTCAGCGATGCCCTGCGTGGACCACGTCTGGTTGTCCAGCAACGTTGCCAAAGACTCCTCCTGGGTCAGCTAGAGATCACAGAACAATCACAATTAAATACCAGCAGCAGGATGCAGCACTCCTCTCCTAAATTATTAAAGGAATAGATTTTATTATGTATTAAATAGCCTCAGTGCTTACAAAACATTTAGCAGCACAAAGGATTTTTGGGTTAAGAAAGCAGTGGAAAAGGAAACAACTGTTAAAAAAATTGCTTAAATATTTGTTTTAATGACTAAAAAAACAGTTTGAGTGCAGTTTCATTCATTCATTATCTTTTACACACATTTACTATTTTGAATCAAGTGGGAGCCTGTGTCAATCTATGAGAGGCGGGCAGTACTGTGGACAAGTATGTCCACCACAGGGACTATACCCTAAGATACACTTTAAACACCGCAGCATGTCTCAAAACCTTGATAATTATGTTATATCACTGGGAGGAAATATTTTTTGAGTTATCTAACATAAAATTATGATGATTTTCTTAAGCTAATCAGATGCCAAAATAACCTTTGACAGAAAGTTTGATCACAAGGCTGAAGTTCAGATTTGTGCCTTGTTTAAATATGACCCAAGTTGTTAGGTTTAGTCAAGTTAGACTGACTTTGCAAATGTTGCAGAAAAGCACTAAGGAGTAATTCAGGAATAGTTCTGTTTTTATTACTTTACTAAAAGTCAGTGCAAGCATGAAATAGGCTTCAGCTAATAAAACAATGATTTGTGCTTGAAAACTAGTAAATTATTAGGTTCATGAAGTGAAACTGATGTTGTAAAATGTGATTGTGTACCAGCCTTTTATAAAGTGACACAAACCTACCTTTCCAGCCATAAACTGTCCAAAGCCAGGGGGAAATGTAAGTGTTGAAATGAGTAAAGTGACCAGAGCTGGATACAGCAGGCGTCTGAAAAACAGGAAGATGACAAACAAACAAAACATTAACAACCCATGAGTGAACTTATAGGAGATTTAGTGACCAATTAACTAATTAACAAGTACAAGTATTAATTGGAACACTTAATATTACGACTTTAATCTCGTAATATTATGACTTTAATCTCCTAATATTATGATTTTAATCTTGTAATAATAATAAAAAAAATCTCGTTGTGTCGCCCTAATACTCTGTCGTACAGTTTACTTCACTGCTCTTGAGGATTTGAGACACTTGGGACATTACACTCTGCTCATACCATGCCCCCTCAGTTCGAACCTTTGTTCTAGCACAAGACTGTTGGTGTGCTGCAGCTGTGCTAATGGTGGAGAATCTAAAGTTACAGGAAAATTGGACATTCTGAGTGTTCTGAATGTGACACAGCTTTTTATCAATGCGTTCACAGTAGGATTCGCTGTAAGGGAGGAGCTGTGGAGGTGGGTCTGTGGTGCAGCAAGAGGAGGGACCTGTAAGGTGAGCTTGTTCAAATATTGAGGCTAGGTCCACAGTTTTCCCAGAACTTCTTAAGGCAGCTTCAAAAGAACTGCTTAAAACAGCTTCAGAGTTGCCTAAATAACCAATAAAACCTGCAGTTTATGACTCATTTCATAGCATGACGGCTCAGTGATTAGCACTGTTGCCTCACTTCAAGAAGGTCCTGGGTTTGATCCCCGGTTTGGACCTGGGGTCTTTCTGTTTGGAGTTTGCATGTTCTGTTTGTCTGCGTTTTCTCTGGGTACTCTGGTTTCCCCTACAGCCAGTAGTGGACAGCACTAATCCAAATATTACTTGTACTAACTCAACTATTTAGGTCCCCTAATTCTAAAGCACTAACATACTGAAAAATTTAGCAAAAGCTAATTCTAAAGCACTAAAATAATCCAGTTGACACATGGAACATTCTTCAGCCAACATGAGACAGTATTTACTGTGTGTAGAATGTTGTCACTTAGTGCCCTTGGCGGGCCAAATATGAGTCACCTGCAGGCCACATTTGGCCCGCGGGCCTTGAATTTGACACATGACCTTGCAGATAAGTGACATACATATGAACAAAATGTGACAGCTTTCACCCTCAACTGTGAACATAAATGTTAATCAAAATGGACCTCAGCTTGTGCTTCTAAATTTAGGCCATAAATTTAGCAAGCGCTAATCCACTAATAAATTTAAAAAATAGCAAAAGCCCTAAAGTACTAATCAAGAAATTAGTTCCCCATTAATGCTTTAATGCTTTAGAGTAACTGTGCCCACCACTGCCTACAGCCCAAAAATATATACAATAGGTTGCCTTCAGGCCCAGGCTGCTCTCACAAAAGGATTTTGTCTTGTAAAATAACTGTAAAATAAATTTTAAAAAATTAGATTGTAGAGGTAACTGTGCTGCAGAGAACACACTCCTCTGGAATACCCCTCAGATGGAAGTGTACTTATTTTTCACACGTACTTACTTTTTCATGACAAATTTTATGATGGTGTTCTGTTTTCTTAGGAACTGGACAATTACACGGTTCAGGTAGATAAACAAAGCTCCACCAAATCCACTGGCAATACTGCAGAGACAGAGAAACACTCATGTTAGCTACATTCTTCTTTACATCTGGCACCAAAAAGCACCTCTGCCTGATCAAACCAAAAGTAAAAAGAACAAATTAGTTCAAGTGTAAACAAACCCGTGCGTCAAAACAACATTTTCTCTCTTGATCCACCTCCATAAACTGCTGCCTTTGCATTTGGTCCCAATAAAACCAATGGAAATGTAATGAGGCTCTAATGCACTGGAGGCAGATGTCAGCACTAAGTGAGAATGTAATGTATGTAGTGAAGTAATAAAAGATGTACAGATGGTAACAAAGACATGATGTGGAAGAACAGCAGAATGTAAATAAAGAGGAACAACAAAAGGAAAACAACAGAGGAACAAAGATATAGAAGAAAAACGAGGGAATAAACCAAAAACTAAACGAATTAAAGCTGACAGATGTGGATGTGTGGGGGAGTCAGAGAAAAAGCAGAAAGAGAGGTTTATACAATCAATCAATCAATCAATCGATCAATCAATCAATCAATCAATCAATCAACTTTATTTGTACCCACAGGTAAATTTGGTTACAGTGAAAACGAGTCAGCTTCTATCCAAGAAAAAGCACAAGACATCTAACATGGACACACAGTGGATACAACATGATTAAAAAGTGACCAGGTGCTCATAAAACTCAACTATATAAGAATCAAAGATAAAACAAGATAACATCAAATAGAACTATATAAGACAAAAAAGAATAAAATGACTAACTATTGTAATGTATATTATGTTAACTTGAGTTTAAAGGGATCCCCGATTAGTTGTAACATTAGACTTTATTTAATAAACATACAGTATATTTTAACTGTAAAATGAAGACTGTAAAAATACTCTAGTATGTTTAGTTTTTATAATTTTTAAACYAAAAGTTTAAAAATACAGTACATTACATGGACGAGGCCATTTTATTTACACACAAATCATTCTGGGTAAATGATGACGTGGATAGGTCCTCGGTGCGAGGCTGCTAGCGAGCTATATCCACCCTGAAGGTTAATCTTGGACAATATCTGATGATCGACTCTTTTAAATGAAACCAGAGAGCGTTGACAGAGAGGAGAAGGTAGAAATGACTCAGCCTGGAACTGAAAATGTGGATAGAGGACCTCAGTTTAGCTTGTTTGTCGCACTAGCACCGAGCTAATACATAAAAGTTTTTAGCTTGTTTGCATCTGTAAGCATAAGTGTTTGATTGATCAATGTCGCACTAATCAACTGTTTAAAAAAATCATTATTCCATAATTAGTAATTACTTTGGTTTATACGTTTTAAATGACAAAATGTCTCAATCTGTTTTTTAACTATTTGTGTTTTGAATTGTTGTACAGAAATCACAATGTAAATTTAAACTCTGATACACTCTGTAACGTGTCGTGCGGACCTCTTGACCAGGTCACCCTTGTAAAAGAGATCCTGATCTCAATGGGTTTTCTGCCTGGTTAAATAAAGGTTATTGATTGATTGATTGATTGATTGATTGATTGATTGATTGATTGATTGACAAGGCAATATAGCGTCAGTGCTAGCACAAAGGCTAACAGGCTAAGCTGAGGTTCTTCTTCCATGAAGCAACTCTGTTGTCCTCCATCCATATTTTCAGTTCAGCCATGGCGTGTTTCATTTCCATTTAGTAGGCTGATGATAACAGAGTCATCTGCATTCTTTAATATAAGTCTGCCATCCCTGCTGCTACGGCACGTTTGTATAAAGGATAAACTGGAGAAGGACAGAACAGATCCCTGTGGGGAGCCGGTGGAGGAACAGACCTGGGGTCAGATTTATAAAGGATTGCATGGAAACCATACTAAAACTGAACTACAGCCAAAAGGCGAAAATGGCATACACCAAAAAAATTCAGATCTATAAAACCATGCGTACGCACGTTTCTGCGCACCTTCCCTTTATAGATCACAGCTGACCCTCAGAGTTTGCGCACAAGGTCCCGCCTCAGATTCTACCCTCTACACACCCACACTCAACCATAAACAGTCCTGATTTATACCTCATGAATGTTAAGGTGTATTTAAATCAGTCAGCTGATCAATGYCAACAAAAGTGATTGGCTCAGACGCTCCGTCGTGCGTCTGGAGGATGACAGGTGCTGACTGACAGCTGCTCACGTGAACAGAATGTCTGTAACTGACATAGATTTTCCATCATTTTGCAGGTTTACTGACGTATAGAGTAAGCTAATGATTTTTATCAAAAACTGAGCTTCAAATTAATTTTCTTTCAGAGCCGGCAGGACGATAAAAACAATAAAAATAACATTAAATAAGTCAGATAAAATTAGAAA